TGAGAGTCAATTAAAGGAAATCCTTCCTAAGCCAAGCCCTATCACTATTCGAATCTCCAATCTGTATGAGGAATTCATGCTACCCTTTGATGAACCAGAAAAGGCTATCACATCTGAAGCGAAAGCAGCTGACAACAAAGTAGATGAATTGAAGAAGATAATTGATGACGCTGCAAAAGAAATGCACAATCGGCCATGAACTATGAAAGTACCTCAAAACACGAGCACTACCTTCCAGGGGGAGAATTCTGACTCCAATGCAAGTCCTCGGGGGGGAGCAATATACATCTCACGATACGAGCATTCCATCGTAGGGGTAGCCTTACATTTCTTGTACTTCTTCTGACTCACCTCCCACAATGACTCATGAACCACTATTCACATGAGATACTTCAATTCCTAAAGAAGATGACATATCGTCATTCGAAGGGGAGAATACGGATGCGAATGACGATTCAAAAATGTTGAATTGGATCCTTCTTTTGATCCAAAGGATCCTCCGCTAAACAAATGGACCATAGATCACCCAAGAACCCAAGTAATCGGTGAATATTCTATAGGTGTTCTTACGAGATCTCAGATAAAAGTAAAACAAACTGCATTATTCTCCAAATTGGAGCTCTGTATGTTTAACTCATTCATTTCCAAAGTAGAACCCAAAGCCCTTAACTTTGCTTTTGATCATTCTGATTGGGTACAAGCGATGTAAGACAAACTCAACAAGTTTGAACAAAACAAAGTTGGAGGTTAATTCCAACTCCACCAAAAGCATCAATTGTAGGTTTAAAGTGGGTGTTTCGCAACAAAATGGATAAATAATGGAATGTTATAAGAAACAAGTCAAGACTCGTTGTTAAGGGGTATTTTTAGGAAGAAGGGATTGACTATGAAGAAACCTTCACACCTGTTGCAAGGTTGGATGTTAAATGTTCTTTCTTGAATGGAGAGTTAGAAAAGCCTGTATACGTGGAACAACCTCCTGGGTTCGTAACGAGAAGTATCCCAATCACTGCTACATCTTAGATAAGGCAATATATGGTCTGAAGCAAGCTCCAAGAGCCTGGTCTGAAACTCTCACTCGTTTTCTTCAAATGTCAGAAATTAAACAATGTTCTATTGATCGAGCCTTTTATTACAAGAAAAGGGTAACCACTTGATGATCATCCAAATTTATGTTGATGACATCATCTTCAGTTCTACGAATCCCAGCCTAATACCTGAATTCCAAAAGTTGATGGAAACTAAATTTGAGATGAGCTCCATGGGTCCAATTAACTTTTTCCTTGGATTAAATTAATGATAGGGACCAGAAGGAATTTTCATAAATCAGGAAGCATATACGAAGACTTTACTTACCAAGTTTGGCATGGTGGGAGACTCTTAAGCGAAGGTTCCAATGGCATTAGGAATGAAACTAACACCAGATCTGGAAAAACCAGTTATTGATATGACCCTTTATCGTCAAATGAAAGGATCATTGATATATCTAATAGGTAGTAGACCAGATATTATGTTTTCCATTTGTGATTGTGCTATGTTCCAAGCAAATCCTCGTGAACCTCATATGGTGGCCGTCAAACACATTTTCAGATACTTGAAATGAGCCTCATCACTTGCATATGGTACCCTACGAAATCAGGCTTCTTCGTACAAGCATTTTCTGATGCTGACCTTGGGGGATGTGGATTAGATAGAAAAAGAACAACAGGAGGATGCCAATTTCTTGAAGGCAAACTTGTCAGCTAGCAATCCAGGAAGCAAACATGCGTATCCTTGTAACCAGCTGAAGACGAATATATAGCTGCTTTCTCATGTACATCTCAAGTCATTTGGATTCAAATCCAGCTTCACGCCTATGGCTTAAGCATGAAACGTATCTCACTATACTGTGACTCCAAAAGTGCCATTCACATTTGTCACAACCCAACGCAACACTCAAAGACACAACACATAACACTGAGGTATCATTTCATCAAAGATCACATAAAAGACGACAACGTTGAAATTCACTTCGTGAGATCCTCTGATCAGCTAGCTGACATAATCACAAAAGCCTTGCTGGAAAGAACCTTCAATAGAATTCTTCAAGGCTGAGGAATAATGGAAGTTGAATCTATTCCAAAATCACTTTTTGCATACATAATGATTGCACTGCGAATCGGTGCAAACATTCGCAGTAGTTCATAGTCCACGGTTCATTTGCAGTCTACTTTTACACTACGAATCGGTGCGAATGCACGCAGTAGTTTGCAGTCAACTGTTCATTCGTGGTTTGTTTTTTTTTTCAATATCCTTTTGTACTTTATGTATATTATTTCTTATCTTTGTTTCATCTTTCAATCTTTTCTATTTTTAATTATTTTTCAGATAATCTCAAAATACAAAAATATTTTTTTGTGTTTGAATTTATTTTATTTTATTTTTTTTTACTTTTATTTTTCACAGATCTCAAAAACACCAAAAATATCTTAAGAAGATCATGGAGGCACAAACTCGTATCATATCTCAATTTATGTGAAATGATAGGTATAAATCTCTTTATTTATTGTATTAGCTAAGTGTCCCTAGCAGCATGCCACTGCATGTTGACTAAAGCCTCAAGCAACTCTATGTGAAGCCTTAATGATTCGATCATACCTATCGTTTCTTCCCAATTAGACTATTAAATTCACATTAGTCCCGAGCTACCTTACTCTTCCCATTTTGAGTTAAGAGTTATCTGATCAGTCACTTCCTTAAAGTAGAGGTACATTCACTTCTTTGGAACCACCTTCACAATTCTCCACTGCTTTCACATTCATGCATGTAACCCTTGAGACTCTCAGCTACACCACTAAGGTTTATGGTTACACAAATTATGTGTTAGTGATCTTATCTTCATGTACCACGAACTGAGTGAAACCCAAAATCCAACACACTTACATGAATTGACGGTGAACAATTAAATGTTCAAGATTTTCACCATGGAATTAACGAAAGCCATTTTTGTGATTTGTACCAAGAAATCTCTTTTTCTTTTACGAGATCTTAATGATGTGCTATTATCCCAAGACACTTCTTCCCATAAGATCCAATTCTATTTTTTTGAGATTTCAAGATTCAATCTTGTCACCAAAATAATTCCAAACCTACTCTTTCAACTGACTACACTGGTCACACGAGTACTTAATCCAACATTCGTACTTATATGAAGTTCGTTTTTTGGTTGAAGATTCAGCCACCCACTTAGCCTAATTAAAATATGCCATTCAATGTTTCTTATCAAACATTTGATTGTATTTCAGCATGATACCACACAGACACTTCTTAGTCTCTCTTGGCTTCGAAGAAGAGATCTTTGCCTGGGATCCACAGTTCCGTGTCTTTTTTAGACATCACAAAATCACACATATGTATATTTGATTATTTCCTTATCTTTGGCATACTCCTGCATGAAGATCCTAGTGATTTTCCCAAGTCTTGTTCATTATTATTATGTTTATTTCAAGTTTCGTAGGTTTATCTATCACACTTGAAAATGAAAGCTCTTGTCTCATGTTGCGAAAGGGCTTGCTATCTAATAACTACGAACGTGAGAATTTCAAGCGGTTACATTTTTGGATAAGATTTCAAATGGGCGTGTGCAGCTAAATTTTACGCCACCTGACAGACGTCAAAAACTATCAGTCACACTTTTCAAGGCGCCTTTTTAGTAATCGATGCACTCTTTCTCTTAATTTGTCTCACCAAACATACCGTCTATAACGATTTGAGTGATTTATTTCTCACCACCACTCCCATATTTTCTCTCAATGATATCTGGCGATCAAAGCATCTACTGTTCATCTTCTTTCTCAAGCTTGAACAATGGCGGGTTCCTCTGAAAACAAATATGCTCAAGATCAAGCTGCTCACTTTCCCCTTCTGGCATTCAAACAACATCAGAACTTGGTGATCAATCTCGAACCAGTCAAGTACGACAGTTTTATGCTTCCTAAGTATTGTCCATTGACCAATCGCACTGACCAAGATGGAAAATGTTCCGCTCTCGATCCTGTCCAAAGCTTATTCTTATGAAAAATATGTTAAAGAAGAATAGAGGATCACATTTGAGATCCACAACCGTACAACATCCATATCCAAATCTCGATTTTGTTCTCTCGTGCAACTTCATCAAACTGACGACATGATCAACCTTGAATTGGTAACCAGTGCTGCTCTTCTCGAGATATTTTATCAAATGGGTTACAATGAAACCCTAACTTCCGTTCAGAGTTTACAAAACCCAATACGCCTCCTCAATGGAACGGTCTATTCACCTTGATATTTAAGGGTTTTTCTGAAAGAGTGACCGGATATGATTGTGCAAGCAAGATGTTCTTGGAGATTCTTTATGGTCTCTACACAGGTTTGAATGTTGATTATGGCTTTGTCTTTTGTACTCAAGTGATTCTGAGCACACTTTCTACCACACATTACAGTGAAATCTCCTGTGCACGTTTTTTGACCATCATTGTCCAACGGTCCATTGACAAGCTCAAAATGCCACCGATAAAAGACGAGTTGATGGCATCAATCTCTACCTTTCACACCACTGGGATTATTGTTTCAGATTCTTCAGATTTTTCTTTCATTGGCTCAATCCCAGAAGCCATGTTTCAAGATGTGCCCGCTTCTAGCGAAATCGTGGAGGGATACAAGAAACTGACTCCATTTGGGTTTTGTCCATTAACTCCAAAGATCCAAGAGATCATATCTGAGTCTGACAAACCCAAAAAGGGGGGGACAAAAGAGTAAAAAGAAGGGTGAAAAGAAATCCAATGATAAGGAAGGGACTTATGCAATAGCGAAACCTCCTAAGAAGAGAAAGGCACCAACGGGAACTTCTGGTGCTACTCCCAAAAGCTGAAAGCAACCTGCTCGCAAGCAAAAGTCCCCCAAACCAAGTGAAAGTGAAACTTCCGACTCTGAGAATCAGTCAGATATTCACATTGAGAAGGAAGATCCTGTTCGAAAAGAGGATGATAAAGTTTGCAACGATGAAGAGATATCAAGCCTGTGGTAACTCGTTCTCACACTGACTTTATTCCTTCTCCTACTCCTTCCCCTAAAACCACTACAACACCCATTACCATTGCATCATGCCCTCCACCATTATCTTCTTCTCCACAAACCATTATTCCTCTATCTACTCCTCACTTTACAGATTCCACAAACCCACCAACCACCTCATCTACACCTATTTTTTCAGTCAATGCATCTGATGTGGGGGCTGGAGTATCAGGTTTCGCCTCAACTCATATCTCTCCACTAGTTTCCCCTTTTCACACTGATGATCCAAATATGATCTATGGGGATACTAAAGATGACTTACAAGGATTCACCTTCACTCGGTTCGACATAAGAACTGGTAGTGATGAAGCTCTAATAACTAAAGGGCGACTTAAAACTATCCATGAAAAGCTTGATTCTTTGCTTCAGTCTGCCAAGCCTTCCTCCTTTAATGACTACTCTCAATCTCCTATTGAGTCTATGCTTGAAACCCTCACCAAATAACACTCATCAAATCTTGAACGGATGAACATGGAACTTGATGCATCCACGTCTGTTTGCAACCAAATGAGACATCCCCAAAATCACGGCCAAAAAAGACCGGTTTTGTTTATACTTTATTTCAAAATCAGATTTATGGAGGAATGGTTTACAAACCCTATTCATCAAATCCATGAATGCTGCGGGAGCATTGGTTAGTCCGAATGACATAACCAAGAACTCGTAGTGTCCATATCTTGTTTTGAATGCAGTCTTCTCAATATCCTGCTCTCTCACCTTCAGCTGATGATATCCTGACCTAAGATCGATCTTTGAGAAGTAGCTCGAACCTTGAAGCTGATCGAATAGGTCGTCAATCCTCAGTAATGGATACTTGTTCTTCACCGTTGCCTTATTCAGCTCTCGGTAGTCTATACACATTCTCATGCTTCCGTCCTTCTTCTTTACGAATAACATCGGAGCTCCCCAAGGTGATGAACTAGGTCGAATGAAACCGTTGTCCAACAGCTCCTGAATTTGCGTGATGAGCTCCTTCATCTCCGTCGGTGCTAATCGGTAAGGTGCCTTTGCTATCAGTGTTGTTCCTGGTAACAAGTCTATACGAAACTCCACTTGCCTATCACGTGGTAATCCGTGAAGATCTTCGGGAAACACTTACGGATAATCGCACACAACTGGTATATTCTGCACCTCTTTCTTTTCCTTCTTAGCATCGATTACGAATGCCAAGTATGATGCACATCCTTTGGTAAAACATTTCCTGGCTTTCATCAGGGAGATGATTCCAGAATTCACTCTACGTTTGTCCCCGTACACCATAAATGATTCCTTTCTGGGTGGGTTTATCCTAACTATCTTCTTTCGGCATAATATCTCGGCATCGTTGGTGCTAAGCCAATCCATACCCAAAACGATGTCGAAACCGTTTAACTCTATAGATAATAGTTCCTCATGGAATTCGTTTCCGTTTAGGTCAATGACGATGTTCCTAATACGATTACTAACAGGTACGAATTTGCCACTAGCAACTTCTACAATTAGGGCGTTATCAAGTTTTTCTACAGGTAATGCTAATTTCCCACTAAATTTATGCGACACAAAGGAGTAGTTGGCTCCGGAATCAAATAGTATATTTGCAGGTAAACCATTTACAAGAAAGGTACCTGAAGCGACGTCTGCTGCCTCCTTTGCAGCCTCGAGCGTCATCTGGAAGGCTCTTGCCTTCGGCTTTGGTGGTATGTTGGGTTTTCCTACCTCCTTCTTCTTCCGGCAGTCCTTCAAAATGTCCCCTTCTTCATTACACCCATAATAGGCCTTCTGGTTGAGGGTGCATTCATTGGCATAGTGCCCAGGCTTTCCGCATTTGTGACAAGTGACCCCTCCATCACACTTCCCAAAGTGCTTCTTCTTGCACTTGTCACACCACTTTTCTTCTGATCCTCCTCCTCTCGAACCAGACTTCGAGAATCTACTATTCTTGTTGGACTTCGAGGATCCATTGAACTTCCGTTTCTCACCAACCTCAGCCCTTTCCAGACATCTTTCCTTTTGTTGGGTCTCCATGTTCTTAGCTGCTCGAACAGCTGATTTCAGAGTGGTTGCCATCTTGACTGTTGGGCCAAAGTCATCCGGCAGTCCGTTTGCGAATTTCTCAATTTTAGAAAGTTCGGTTGGCACTAGGTATGGAAACAACTTCATCTTTTCTGTAAATGCAGCAGCATAGTCATCGATGCTCATTCTCCCCTTCTTCAAATTTTGGAACTCATTGTTAAGATAGATCAGGTCTATCTCTGAACAGTACTGCGCCTTCAGTTCTTCCAAGAACTCATCCCATGACATTTTCAGATCTTCTCCTCATGGCATTGTATCTGCCAATAGCTTCCACCAGCTCAAGACTCCAGTTTTCAATTGTCTCACAGCAAAGATAGTCTTCTGCTTCTCGCTGCAGTCGCAACTCTCAAACACCATTTCCATCTCGGAGATCCAGTCCATAATCTCAACAGGCTTTGGGCTTCCTGAGAGACTTGGTGGTTTCGCACCCACGAAATTTCTGTACATCCGTCCATCCTTGTTGTTTCTCCCTTCTAGGCCATCCCTTTGCTCACCTTGAGTCCCTATTTGACTCACTCGACGGCTATAGTTCCCTTCCTCAGATGGCTCGGGAACTGGCTCCGTCAGTTCAACATGTATAATAGGTTCGTCCCTATTCTCGTGGAGCATCCGTCTCATTTCTTCCCTTTGTTCAGCTAGCATGGCCTGAATCATGGCTTGAACTCCAGCCATGGTAACTGGCTTAGGTGCAACTTCTTCAACAATAGGTATTTGCTGAACCACTGGGGTTGGTTCCTACCTCCATTCGCGTTCACATTTCCGCTACGGGTCCTTTCTATCTTGATCTATACACCGAATAAGGTGAATTTAGATCTTTATTTAGGAGAGACGTTTTAAATCGTCCTTATCACTTCGAAACGTTTACATGCTAGTTCTAATATCGTAGTCGTACGTTTAGAATCCTAAACACATAAGTTTTCCAGATCCGGTCGGCAACAAACCATAGATCCGAACCAAATAACAACATATCATGCATAAAGCATTTAGCACATAAAAGCATTTTAGGCACAATTCCTAAAATAAGCTAGTGCTCACACCTCACAATCATTACTTAGAATTCTAATTTTAAGTCTAGAAATCCTGCAAATTCCTAGTTCGCTTAAACTAATGCTCTGATACGAACTGAGACATCCCCAAAATCACGGCCAGAAAAGACCGGTTTTGTTTATACTTTATTTCAAAATCAGAGTTATCTTTTAATAAAAGGGTTGCGGAATTTGTCCCAAAACAATAATATGATAAAGATTTATCAAAATCATTTCCATAGAAATGTATTTCATTAAAAGACTTGGGATGTCATGTTCGTACATATCAAAAGCATAAACAGTACAATATAAGCCTTACTACATTATTTCATATCTAAAGGCCTCTATCCGTAATCCCTCGTCCAAAACATCACACCTATGCTCATACACCACTACCTGTAATACATTAAACTGAGTGGGTCAGGCTTGGGAGCCTGGTGAGCACATAGGGTTTTCAACCCACAATAAATAAGTTTATTAATTTCATCAATCAACAATAACCCGATTACCCGTTCCCGTTATCCACACTTTACATCCCTAAACACCTATCATAAGGGACCTAGCCTAAGGATCATCATCGGGATGAACACTACTGCTAAGGGGGTTCCTCAGCAATAAATGTCCTAAAGGCAACCATTTGGGGGATGGAGTACACCAGTGAACGCATCGTTCACAACGCCTACAGGTTGCGAGCCTGCTAGTGTTCCACTGTACTGTCTAGAAGAGTCCATGGTCGTCATCTATACTCCGCAAGATGACTGGATCAACAGCAACAACATTGAGGCCTCTCATCATTTTATCACACATCGTCTTATTACATCTACCCATGTTTTACCCCAACATTTTTGTAGATATAAAATACATATACAGTTTAAATCATTTAAAACTTGTATAAAAACATTCATCCAACATAAATAACAAGTATACAGATAATATGCACACATAGCACGTAATATATAAAATACTTCATATCTATGTGTAAGATGAAAGTAACTATGCACTCACTTGATTAGGTGGTGACTCAAAACTCGGACAGCGCTTTGATACTCTCAAAATGATATTCCTTCGATAAAACCTAGTATCGATACCACTAGGGTTTAGTCTAATGATAACCGCGACAAATTAATTGTCTTACTATTATTATTATTATTATATAAGCATTAATAACACTCAATATAACTTATAATAATAGCCCAAATAATTATTTTAAGGACCTAATAACGTTCCTATATTAAAACATAAGCTAAACTAAAGATAGCATAGGTACAGCTCACTTACAGCGGGTTTTTCTCAAAAACCGGGCTTCACTGCAGCAGCGTTCCTGAGCCGAAAGGCTCTTTTCTCGGGACTCCGGGAACCTCAGGGCTTCCTTTGGGTGCTAGGGGGTTTACCTAGGCTTTTAGGGGGGTTAGGGAGCTTAGAGAGAGTGTTTAGAGAGAGAAAGAAGAAGGTTGAGGGGTGAAGAGAAGTGAATGCCCGGCACCTCTATTTATAGGAGGCCTGACTGGTGGACTCGCCGAGTTTGATTCATGACTGGTAGAGTTGGTGCATGTGCAACCTTCTGGTGGTGCCACGTGTCCAATTCTGGTGGTGCCACGTGACCCCTATCGTGTATCAACCCTTAAACTTAGAAAAATCATAACTTTCGCATACGAGCTCCGTTATCGACGTTCTTTATATCCACGCGTAGGTAAAATCATGATCTACAACTTTCGTTTAGACTCCGTTGGCTAATTCTCGACCGATCTCAAATTTAACTGTAGGAGGCGTTTAGACTGTTAAATGACCGCGAAGAATTCATAACTCCTTCACACGGACTCCGTTACCGTCTGTCTTTTTACCATTGAGTTCCTATTAATGAGATCTTGAAATCTCATTTAGGTCATGTAAGCCAAAAACCGCTCGAACTAAAATTCGAGTTTCGGGCTGTACACTGCTAACTCGAAACTTCGAAAAATCATAACTTCTTCATACGAAGTCAGATTTAAGCGTTCTTTTTATCGATGTTCTTAGTTTAACATATTCTACGACTTTCGTTTAGCTCGCTAAGGCTAAATCTCACTCTATCTTAAATTCACTATTCACGCTTCCCGGTATCATGCTGGTTCTATCGTGAAATTTCGACGAGTCATAACTTCTTCGTTATAACTCGGATTTCGGCGTTCTTTATATTTACGGAAACCTTGAGACATATTCTACAACTTTATGTAGAGATATCGGGACTATCTCACACTTTAATTTTGATGCTCATTTTTATTCTTTATTAATTATACATTTATACTTAAATAATAAACACATAAACACACATAATTCACATAATACTCAACTATTTCATCTTTATTACTTCAAAAAGAGTTAAAAGAGTTGACCTAGACTATTACATTGACAAAAATGCTCAGCCCTGAAACCCGGGCATTACACCAAATGACCGAAAAAGTCGATAAACTAATTTATGATGCTCAAGTATTTATGGAGATATTTCAACAATCCTTTGACTCCAACACTGCTGCATCTAACGAAGTCATTTCTAGCTTGAGCACTTCTCTGAACTCCGAAAGGGCTAAATTTCAAGATATTTGCAATGGTCTCAAAGATGACTATGATAAGTTTCAATCTTCAATTACTTCTCAACTCTCTAAGCTTAAAGGGGATTTGGAGATGGAAAGGAAAGTCATGGATGCCCTTGCCATCAAGACGGAGAAAGTGAAAACTCTTTCTGTTAAGCTAGAACAGTTTGAGAAACAAGTCCAAGATCTATTGTTAGAAAAGGCAGTCATAAAAAGTTGTATCACTGATGTCACTGTCTTTCTTTCATATCTCATTGAGGCCAGGGATTTGATTATTCCAATCACTATGCGAAAGTATCTGAGTGAAAATATAAGGCCAACATTCACTATTCTTCATCGCTTGGAGGGTGTTCCGGAATCCTCTAGCATTCTGAAAAAAGTGGGAGATCAAATACAGCCAACTTCTGAGAAGCCAAAACCTGCTGTTAAGCGTATGCCTATTCTTAAAAGCGAAACTAAGCCAAAGGATAAAGACAAACTTTTCTCTGATGATCCCATCATTGATAATGAAGAAGAAGAGGATCTTGATGAAGCTGAACGTAAATAAATGGTATATTAATGTGTTACTAAAAAAATATACTAATAAGAAATCATAATATTTAATAAATTAATGAAAAATTATTTGGACTTAATTCTGGAATCAATTGGATTAATTAAAAGTATATGGACTATTTTGTTATTTGTTAATAGTTGAGAAAGGAAGGCTCTAGAATATCTTGGAAGAGGTGGACGGAAATCTCTATGGAAACCCTAGGAGATTATCATCCAAGATCCCTTGGACAAGGGAATTGGGATGCTTGGTCACCAAGCAAAGGATCTAGGGCATATCCCTTCAACCCTACCTTTGGCACCAAGTTCCCTCAACTAAGTAAGGAGCCTTCGAGCCCCTTGATTTCGTGACTCCTTCTCTTCCCAAGTCTTTGACAAAATCTTGCCTCCCATCTCATCTCTTTTATATTATCCTCTTGATTGTTTGTGTGTGATTCCATTATATCAAGAAAGAGGAATTCTAGTTGTTTACTATAACAACTAAAACATATGTATTCCTAAAACCCTCGAATGTCAATTTCAAAATTCTCCTAGGGTTTGCAGGTTTGTTTTCAATGTTCTTAGTTATAGGTTCCATTGAGAAAAAATAGATCCTATTTAGGTTGCATCTAACTTAAGGGTTTTAATTTTGTTTGTTTACCTAAAAAACATAAAAATTCTCCCATGGTCGGATGAGAGGAGGGGAAAATAATGAGAGAAAATTTCATCGAGAAGAGTGAAACTTGTTGGAGAAGAGTTATTATATACTATCACACTAGTTGTTTCTAGCTAGTTTTGTGTTTGTTAATGTTAATTTATATAGAAGACATTTAATACTAAATTTACTTGACATCAATTTTTTTCCAAATAAGTCATGAAATCACGATTGAAGAAGGAAAAACCATTCTTGAACCAGCCATAGATGCCCTCTCATTTGTCTTTTGTTGGGACGACAGTAAATTTATAAGAGGAGATGGCATAAGGAGTCACTCCACCTAGATATTGAAATTAGACTCAACCAAATCATCGTCAAAAGAAAAAAAATTACTTGAGGTAACTCTAGAAAGCAAAAAAGTTAAAAGGATCTAGAAAGTAGGATTCCTTATGAGGGCAACATGGAGTTCTACCATAACACAAAGAAAGTATCCAACATAAAAAGTAAGTAAATGAATATTTGATAGTTTTTAACAATGGAAAACTAATGCTTTAATCCCATATTGTCATCAATATATATATATATATATATATATATATATATATATATATATATATATATATATATATCCCAAAAATCAATGTATTAACTTTTGTTTTTCAAAACCAACCCCGAAACCATAGTGGTTTACAAAACATAGTTTCTAATAATAAAAATCACAAATCAGAGTTTCCTAATATCCAATACCATAAATTTGAAGGATATGAAAGATAAAGCCTTCGCCTTGGCCCTGTCATCTGAAGTACCTGAAACAATAACCAAGAATCTGTAAGACAAAGCTTATTGTATTCCCCCAAAGTACCACACAGAACCAAACGGATAACAACATACATAATATGAGCCCTTAGTCTGAATGGACTGCCTTGTAGGGCCTACAACCCATTTAGACCGCTCTCCGAGGCTTCGGCCAGATTGGGCTACCTCTGGCCTTCAATCTATCTAAACTGCCCTAGGTTTCTTGGCGTTCAGCATAAATTCATACCGCCTCAACTTAACAAACCATAACATGTCGAAGTATATAATAAGAAACAATAACCAACAATTACAGGTAATCATACAAATCTAACATTCTAATGCACACTCATTAAACATAGGTAATCATACAGATCTAGCAGTCTAATACAAAACCAACATAACATCTATTCAATATACCAGGATACATAATCCAGTGGGCCGACATTGGTAACTTCGACCCACAAGTACAACGAGGAAAACTCACCTCACAGTCTGATTGACATCAGAAATAAATGTTGCTCCAAGTGCCAACTGTATAGGTCACGTATACATTAAAAGTAACCTAACCTCATTCTACAATTCAAAATACCCAAAATTCCCCAAGTTCAAACTTGGTCAAAACCAGAAAGTCAAAAGTCAAGGAAAGTGAAAGATGACTGTGTATGACATGTGTAGTCAGTCACTACATTTGGCATAGTCACGACCTAAGAAGATATTGGAATCCTTGGCTAGTATTCACACTGTACCCCTTGGTACGCCCAACATACTTGGACTGAGGTTTCCTTTTTTACTGAAGTTCTTATTCTGTTCAGAACTTTTCATCTAAACACAGATCTAGACCTAAACCATCGTTCTAAGTCATAAAATTTCCACCTTTATGAATTTACATGGCTATAAATGGTTCAAAAGCTAAAACCTATTATCCAATTAAGACACTATAGCACTTTCATTGAAGGGATAGAAGGACCAAGATCACATTTCAATGGTTCCTAGCACATAAAAACGTCTGAAGGGATACCTCTTCTACTTAGAGTAAGCCAACCTCATGAACACTAAGCTTATGGGACCAAATATGAACACAAACTCGAGGCTAGCAAGATCTAAGAAAATAACTCATCAAGTTTTAGAAATTATACCTTCAAAGGATGCTTAAGGGTGAAACACTTTTGGATCCAAGATGCTTTGAGCTCCCAAGATGATTCCACTTTTACTTCAACCTTCAAGAAAAACAAAATACACTCTATGGCTGAAAGATGATCACACATTGGATTAGGGTTTTCTACGGACGAACTGGGAGATGGAGGTTGATGAGAGAAAAGGTCTTCAGAATCTAATGACGCTTAAATTTGGCTCAAACCCTAAAATTAGTGTTTGACCCAGCCACGCACACCCTGCGTATGCTTGGGTACGCCAAAAGTATGTGTGAAAACACGCCTCCCATATAACATAGCCTTTGGACCAATTTGAACAGAAATTCCACTTTGGGTTTAGAAATGAGAATTTACCTAAACATGAATGTTATATATATATATATTATATATATATATATATATATATTCAATTGGGTTTTGAGCATTCTAACACTCCTATTGTGTACATGCAACCCTATAACGTTGGATCTATGTTTTCTCTATTATACATGCAAATAAGAACTATCCAAGGCTTTTATTCTAACTAGCATACTATGAGGCAACTATACTACAAATACTAGTTAGATGACATACCTTTTGGTGTAGCTTGATGCCTTCAAGCTTTAAGAGCTTAGCCCCAATAGTGTGAAAGCCTCAAGTGGAATCACAAATCACCAAAACCCTTGGAAGACTTTGAGAATAAGAATACTTTGGCTCTCTCTAGTGAAATCGGCTAGCCCTCTTAGTGTACCCACACTAGTGCCAATTTTACCAACCAAGGACATCTTTATATAGTGTAGAGACTAGGGTTAAACCCATGACCTTTCATTTCATATGTTCCATGGGTTAAACACTCCATGGACTATCCATGAAAGCTTAGCCCAACCTAAATGAACATGGCCCATTCCATATATATAAGAGTCCATATTTAATTAGTTCATTTTGATCACTTAATTAATTCTAAATTAAGTCTTGATCAATACTAATTAAATAATATGATTCCATATTAATATATTAGAACTTATAATATATTAATATACTATTCTCAAAAGATTATCCATATAAATTTTGCCGGTGAAGTGTAACCGAAATGGACCATGTCGGGTCGGGTGAAGTACATACCAAATATAGTTATGGACTTACACTTTAATCCACCAATCTCCTACTTGGATAAGTCTAAAATTATTATTGAGTATGACTTCAAAACCTAACTGGCAATCGTAGCTCTTAAAGCCGCTGTCGAACTCTGACCTTGTAAATGACTTGTCCATTAGATAAAGGATCATATATTCCTCCATTCTAGATATCATATGGACTGAGACATGGATTATAATCATTCTCTCTGCCATTTGTTGTTTTCCGATTTCCGATTCCGGATGACTGACTGATTAAACAAACCAAATCAGTCCTGGCATGGCCAAGCACTCACATGTCATCACTAAATCATCGAGGTTCCCACATATATCACTTTTATCCCGAAGGTGAAAGGAATGGATAAACTTCGACTCATAGGGCTTGTTCTACTACTTTTTGAATCATACACAAAAGCACGTTTTATAACATCGAGTTACCAATGCGTTTTCGTGCAATCAATGTACTATCAACTCATAGTAACAACTCATATCTCTAGGTTTGAAGAATATAAGATATTATCATCTCATAATCACTCGTGATAAAATCCATGAAGTGATTCAAATGTGTCACACCCCGAAAACCGAAGGCGGAAACATTTATGGGGTTGACTCCACGTAGAGTATCAAATCCAATGTACATAGTAAGTAAAGTAAATCAACCATTACATTACATATATGAAAGATTTACATTTGTTTCAAAAGCATAAGTTATACAAGTGATAGATAGTATACATGAGCAATACAAAAATGAGTCTTCGGAAAACTCCGTCTTCACACAAAAGGATCTTCGGGTACCTGTCTAACTCGGACCTGAGAATACAAGCGGTTTGAAAATCAGCATAAAGCTGGTGAGTTCATAAGCGTTTAGTTTTTCTGAAAATGTACAAGTTCCTTTGTTTTCCTGAAAAGTAATTATCCAAGAAAATCCCATATTTTCTTATGTAAAGTTAGTTTCCCAATCCGAAAGTAAAGTAAACGATGTTTAATTAAAACATGATTGTTCTTGTGAAATGTAATTCAATCGTTTAACTTATTACACTTCTCTAATTTCGTACTACTATTACTCAGGAAGAACCCCATGTTCTCCTGACTGTGTGTATGTGAACTATTACTAGTTTCTGACTATGTTCGGTGTCCTTCCCAGGAAAACCCCATGTTTTCCCTGACTGTGTATATGTCTTTACGGTTCTGGTTATGTTCAGTGTTCTCCCCAGGAAAACCCCATGTTTCCCTGACGGTGTGTGTGTATCTTTACTGGTTCTGGTTATGTTCAATGTTCTCCCCAGGAAAACCCCATGTTTTCCTG